GCTTGGAACGGCCTTCATAATATGTAACCAGGTTCGCCCCATTATGACATTATACGGCGAAGGGAGCTTTACGACCAGGAATTCTACTTTGACCGTTCTGGTGCCCGCTCGAACAGGTAGTATGATCTTCCCTAACGGGTACTCAGGATTCTTATTAAAGCCGAACAATGGGTGAGGCGTCGGAGACAGATCTGACTTGTTGAAGCTGAGTTTGATGAAAGTTTTGTAATACATAACCTCTGAAGTACTCCCTGGGTCTATGAGAATGCATTCAATGGTGAACTGATTTACGCGTAATTTGATGACCAACGGATCGATGTGGGAGACTGTTGTGCCGCTAAGATCGGAGTCATTGAAAGTAATTGTCGGAGCTTCTCTGGGCTATTCGGTCGGAATACGTTGCTTTTGGGGAATTGGATGCGATTGAATTATGTGCACGGTTAGGGATGCATGCAGGCTGTAGATTATATGGATCACGCCAAGTGGAGGTGAGTCCTGCCTCAAGCCTAATGCCTTGATTGGCTTTCCCTTTCTCACATACTGTTGCAGTCGGCCGTCTTGCACTAGTTCTTCCAGGTGATCCTTTAATGCGTAACAACTCTTGGTTTTGTGGCCGTGATCTTTGTGATACTCGCACCGCCTATCCCTTCTTTGCGTGTCGGGTGGCCCCACCATCTTTGACGGCCATTTGAAGAATGGAACGTGTTGGACTTTGGTCATTATTGCAGTGATTGGTTTTGACAACTCTGTGTACTTCTTGCCGGCACGCCTCGAGCGCCTGCTGTCGACTTGCAGTTGTTCATTCATCCGGTGGGAGCATTGATCGCTTGATCGGCGAGAGTCCTGCCTTTTGTCTCGTTTAGTGTGTTGTCGTGGCTCAGGGCTCGGAGGTGGCGCGGAACTTATTGGTTGAGAAATTTCTAGGGGGCCCGTTTTGTTGGACATTTTTCTGGATTTTATTCTCAAGGCATCATCTTCCACTTTGCAATACTCTTCAACTTTCTTCATCAATGCCCAGACTGTTTTGGGGGGTCTTCTGGTTAGGGAACTGCGAAGAGCACTGTCGGGATGTAGTCCCATTTTGAAGGCGGTGATGTCCATGGAGTCGTTGCAAGCGTCGTTGACGAGGTTGAAGCACTCCCAATAGCGCGCCGAATACGCTCTGGGCGTTTCTCTTAACTAGATCTGCATAGCCCAGAGAGAGTCGGCCTGTTTCAGCTGTACCTCGTTGGTGATGAACCTGGCCCAGAAGGATTTCTGTAATTGATGGAGGCTTTTGATCGAAGTCGGCTCCAGCTTGTAATACCACCTGACAGCTAATGGCCCCAGGCTGCTGGGGAATATTCGGCACATGAGGGCTTCGTTGTCCGCATGCAATGTTATGGCCTGCTTGTAGTGATGAATATGATCAGTGGGGTCTGATTTTTCATCGTAAAGAGTGAATGACGGAGCTTTGAACTTCTTGGGCAGGGCCGTCATTGCAATCCATCGGACAAAAGGATCGTGTTGGTCCTCTTCGTCTGAACTGCTTCTTCTGTGCTTGTTCCTTGTATGTAGACTCTTTTCGGAGGAGCTGGAAGTTTCAGATCGTCCCTTCTGGTTGAGTTCCGTGGGTAATGAGTTGGAGTCGCTATCGGTATCCTTTGGTCGGGCTCGAGGTCGTTGTCCACCTGTCCTCGGAGGTCGTTCAGGATCTTGGCGCATGACTTCTCTGGATTTTTCTACTTCTAGGGCCAAATCTTGACGGAGACGTTCATTTTCAGCGATCATGTTCTCCAGCCTTTGTTCATTCTGCTTTGCTTGTTCCATGATCGCTTGCATTGTCTCTTGCGCTGAAGTCGTTGGTGAGTCGAAGTTCAAGGCGCATCTTGCAGCGATGGTTTCCTTTCCGAGCATATTTGTTGGAGTGAGGTCATCTCCCTGTGTGGTCTTGTCAGTGGCTATCGGAGGATCTTCAGTCACGCCTGCCATGGATGTATTTGAGTATTGCCACAGACGGCACCGATTGTGGAGAAGTGATTTTGGAAATACTCTTCAGATCCTGGGAGACGCCAGTGATCCTCAGCTAGTCACCTGAAAAGACAAAAACACTCCGGTCGGGGGTACCGGAATTAGCACTCCAACGGACAAGTCAGTTCTTGTACTCAAAATAGCTTGTCTTCTAAGTTAAGCAAAAAGTGATTGTTACATACCTTTCTCAATCCATTGTTCCTGTATTTATACCTATTCCTTTTGATCCTCGGGGCCAGGGCCTACTTTTTAATCATTGTCCTTTCTCTTATTCGGCTCTAAGGATCTACACTTATTCGGCACATGTATTATATTCGGCTTCCCATTCTCGTAGGATATAGTCGATTAATATCAGTCTTCTGAGGTACGTACCTTCTGATTTTTTCATTATTCGGCTCCCACATAAACTTATATGCATTGATTGACTACTCATTTGCGCAACACATATAATTATCTAACACAAGTCCAACAAGAAAACTTCTTCATCTAGGAAATTCTATGGTGTATTCTATATGTACCATTGCTTACGATTTTTTAGTCAATGGTTATGACCTACCGTATTGTTAGTTATGACACACTATGATGTTTGTTTTGACAAAATTTTAGTTATGATCCAAGAGCTATTTGGTTAAACCTCACATGATGTATAGTTATAACTCAATTTTTAAAATTTTTTTTTCAAGTTATAACTCTCACAGTATTGAATTATATCATTTGTAATAATCAAACTTACAAATTACATAACTTACCTATGTGTAAGATAGTATTTCTCATCTTTCATACCATGTCCAAACCAACATAAGAGAGCAAAAAATAATTCAAAATATAATAGAGGGAAAATAATAATAATAATGCAATTACAGCATCCCATGAAAGTAAGTTTAAAAACTGAACTTATGTATTATTCTTCTTTAAACATAAAAATATAGTAGCATTATAATTATGAATAAATCAAACTAAGTGTTGTATCTCAATCATTTGAGATTAGCTATATGAACTTTTTTTCCCCCTCCATTATGCTTTATCGAGAGTTATATACTCAAATGATTTAAACAAATTCATATATTTTTTTACCATTCTTATTCCATGTCAGTTTAAGTCTTTTTCCCTTCATTACATTTTCATTTATGGTGATCAACTCTTTTCTCATTCTACGGTTGACTAAATCCTAATTCCCCTAATCTATATTATATATTAGTAAAAGTCACCCTTTTTTTTTCTTCCTTTTCTAAAAGACTCTATGAGCTTCAAGATATTAATATAATTTTCTTAAGTTTTTTTAAACTACTCTTAGGTGTAACTTGAATGAAAATAGTTAAAATTTACTCGATTTTAAATTATTTTTTCCATATATTTTAAACCAATTTTATGTTATTATTTAATTTTTAAAACTATTTTTTGATTATTTATTTATTTTCATGCATAACATAGGTATTACACTTGTTCCAATTGAAGTGAAGATTCAACTCCAAGGTCGGCTTTGAGATTTGTGGGGCCTAAGGCAAAATATGAAAATGGGGCCCCTCTAATATATATTTTTTTGATAAAAAAATTTATGCATAAAATGATAAGCATCCACAATTTTTTTATTTAAGTATACTTGAACTATACTTCCTAGGAAACATGGCTATAATCACAAACACTTCAATCCACAAATCACAGTCCACTGATCTGATAACAAATAAATTATAAAAAAAACAATTTAATGAAACAAAATTAGGGCAAAAAAATTATTCAATTAAAACTGATAAATACCTAGGCAAAAAATTAGGGCTAAATTATTTATTCTACTAAAATCTAAATGATAAAGAAGGTAACAAAAAAATTAGGGCAAATTTATTATTCCACTAATTGATAGAGAAAGAATATAGAAAAAAAATTAGGGCAACTTTATTTAATAAAATCTGATACGGAGAGAGAGGACTTACCATGAGAGAGAGTGTGTGTGAGAGAGAGTGAATTGCCGGAGGAGTGTGTGAAAGAGAGAGAGTGAGTCGCTCACAATGTTGTGCTCTGTGTCTGCCTTCAACTTGGTGTACATACTTTCGTCTTCATTTCACCACTTCGTTAAAGAGAGAGATTGAAAGCAGAAGCACACTAGCAGTGCACTGAAGTGATGTTGTATATTGTATGTATGGTTTGGGTTGGGCCAAACACTTTCTATTTTTATTTTTTTTATATATATTTTCATTTTAATAAATATGGGCCAAACACATTTATAAATAAATATGGGCTAAATTATACATGGCCCAATAAAACATTTTGGGGCCCTTTAAATTGATCTTAAAAAAAAAAAAAAAAAAAAAAAAAATTAAACCTAAAAAAAATTTTTAAATTTGGGGGCCCTTTTTTTGGGCCAAAATTTGGGGCTTAAGGCACAAGCCTTACCTGCCTTAGGTCAGGGCCGGCCCTGCACTTATGTCAATGCCCTTGTATAATCTATCTTACATTAAATGGACTCGGGTATGTTTTCTTTTCTCTTTTTTCTTTTTTTAGGACATATGCAATTTTTTTTGGGATAAATTTCACTAACATCATCTAAGATTTGAAAAAAATAATAAAATAAACCCCCATAAGTTTGATATAATTAACTTGGTCCCTTGACCCCTTTTTCATTAGTAATTATTTAGACATATGAATGAAAAATGATGCTGTCATCTCTTTTAAACACACACACACACACACACACACATATATATATATATTACCTTGGTTATACTTGTATCTTCACACCATCTGCATTACTTTTGATCTCTTTAACTTTACTAAAAAAGAATTCGGTATAATTATACCAAAACTATGAATTTGCTATATTATCCTTATTTTTCATCTTGTACCCTTCATAACTTCTTGTCATACAAATATGTTACAAAATTGAACATTGAATTACATGTTCCTCCCATAGTATTAGGCATCTTGAATTGTCAATTAGGAATCAAAAGGTTTAATTTCTCATCTACATATGGTCTTCTAAATTTGCCATATAGTACATGGAAAATACTAATAGTTACTCCTACAAGGTAAATGACGAGTTATGTGGTAAATGATGAGTTATGTGAATTCAACAATTAGCAGTAGGTATAACTCCACCAAGAGAAAGAAAAAAGATAATGTCATTTGTACAAGTTTGAATATTTTGTGTTGATGTTAGTTACCAAGGTGAATGCCTTAATTAATAATTTTTCTTATTGAAGATTTTATTTTATTTATTTATTTATTTATTTTTTATTTTTTTTAGGGGTTAAAAAAAGTGGTTTCCATTATTTTTTGTTTCTTAAAGTTTCTTTGTTTTTACATTTTGGCAAGTTTGATACTAGAGGAGATTGGTGAGCTTCCAAATATGAAAGAGCTAGTACTTGTTGCTACCAACTTAATGGGTGCCATACCAACATCAATTTTTAATATCTCATCACTTTTGTCATTGTCGCTTTCGGAAAATAACTTGTCAAGTAATCTTCCATCAAATATAGGGCTTTGGCTACCCAATCTTCATGGCCTCTTGCTTGTAGGAAATAAACTCACTGGAATTATTCCCGAATCAATCTCAAATGCTTCTAAACTCACTCTTTTAGACCTCAATAGCAATGCATTTACAGGTTCAATTCCAAAAACGCTTGGCAATTTACAACTACTCACAGTTCTCAACTTCATAAACAACAATTTGACGAGTGGATCATCTACTTCCTCTCTAGAATTGAGCTTCCTCACTTCCTTGGCAAAATTGCAAGCATTTAAAATATTTGTTCATAAATTGAAATCCTCTAGACGACATTCTTCCAACAACCATTGGAAATTTCTCTGCTTCCCTTGAGAACATTCAGGCAGATCATTGTGGAATCAGAGGCAACATTCCTAATGAAATTGGTAATGTAAACAATATGGCATGGTTGAATATGTAGCAAAATAGTTTGACTGGATTCATTTCCTTTACAATTAAAGCGTTGGGAAAGCTTCAAATATTGGATCTTTCCAACAACAGACTACAAGGGTCCATTCCAGATGATATATGCCCACTCAAGAACATGGGTGATCTACGATTGAACGAAAACGAACTTTTTGGATTGATTCCTGAATGCTTAGGAAATATTACATCTCTAAGATATCTATATCTCAATTCCAACAAACTAGCTTTCGTCATACCTACAAGGTTGGGCAATCTCAAAGATATCTCGGAAATTAACATGTCCTCGAATTCTTTAAATGGCAATCTACCACCACAACTTGGGAGTTTCAAAGTTGCAACACTAATAGATTTTTCAATGAACCAATTCACAGGCAAAATCCCAAGTACAATTATAGGTTTACAAAACTTGGTTACTCTTTCATTGGCGCACAATAAGTTCCAAGGATCTATACCTGACTTATTTGGCAGCATGGTGAGCTTGGAATTCTTAGATCTATCCTATAATGACCTCTCTGATGTGATCCCCAAGTCCTTAGAGACACTGTCTCATCTTTCCTATCTCAACGTTTCTTTCAATAAGTTAAGAGGAGAAATTCCAAATGGGGTACCTTTTGCAAACTTCACCATTCAACCTTTCATGTTGAATGATGCATTATGCGATGCACCAAAGTTTCAAGTCCCTGCGTGCCATACTAGTTCCTTTCATCATCTGAGGAAAAAAAGAGTGGCTCTAGCTTTATATATTTTGTTACAGATTGCATCCATACTGCTTGCTACAACCTTTGTGTTCTTGTTTATAAAATGTCGAAGATATAAATCTCTATCCAATGTTGATCTCTTACCAACAATAACACCTCCAAGAATCACATACCAACAGTTTTTCCGAGCAACTAACGGGTTTAGTGAGAGCAACTTGCTTGGTATGGGGAGTTTTGGTTCTGTCTACAAAGCTATCCTTGAAGATACCACAGTTTTTGCTATAAAGGTATTCAACTTGCAAGTAGAAGGTGCATTCAAGAGTTTTGACATAGAATGCGAGATAATGCGACACATTCGTCATCGCAATCTTACTAAGGTCATTAGCAGTTGCTCGAACCTTGATTTCAAAGCTCTAGTACTTGAGTATATGCCTAATGGGAGTCTTGAAAAGTGGTTGTATTCTTACAACTATTTCTTAGATATGTTGCAGAGATTAGACATAATGATAGATGTTGCATGTGCTTTGGAGTATCTTCACCCTGATTATTCAATGCCTTTGGTTCATTGTGATTTGAAACCCAACAACATCCTACTAGATGATGATTTTGTTGCACATGTAAGTGATTTTGGCATTGCGAAGTTATTAGATTTTGGGGAGAATGTCACACATACAAATACCATAGCAACATTTGGGTATATTGCACCAAGTGACTTCTAAATTTTAATTTATATTTTCATATTTTTGTGTTTTTATTATTTTTATTTTATTGTTATATATATATATATATATATGTTTCCAATTTATATAGACATGCACTTTTCATATTATAGCACAAAACTTTAAATATAATTTTCATAGAAATTTTTATGATTTTGTTGACAACGAGCTAATTCTCTAAATTGTAAATTACACTAATCGCCATTGAATAATGATAAAAATACAATAAATTTCGTAATTTCAACATAATTATACCCACCTCCCTTTCAATAATAGAAAATTTAACAATGTTAACTTCAATAAGTAAATTACTTTTTTGCCCTTACTAATTATATCTTTTATTTGTCAAATTTAACAATATTACCAAATAGGAAAATTACTCTTTTTTTCCACACGATCACTACTACATACCCTTTTTTTCCCAAAACAACTCACCCATCCAATACTTGCCACCATTGCATACCCCTCCAATACTGCCAGCCTCTAGGACACCACGATTCCAACCACCGATACAAACCAACTTGCCACTACCAAAATTCTATAATTTTCTTGACAACATGATATTTTTTTTGATTGTATGTAGAGTTTGGATTGGAAGGATTAGTATCCACAAGCTGTGATGTTTATAGTTATGGAATCTTGCTTATGGAAACATTCACAAGACTGAAGCCTACAGATGAAATGTTTTTTGAAGACATGACAATGAAACGTTGGATAAATGAGTCACTACCAAATGCAATCTCTCATGTTATAGATACTAACTTGCTTAAGCTAGAGGAAGAACACCTCACTGCAGTTGTACTGTAGTGTGTATCATCCATCATGGAATTGGCTTTGAATTGCTCTGCAGAATCATCTGAGGAGAGGATGAACATGAAATATGTTCTCGCAACACTAAAAAAAGTTAAACTTTGGTATCTAGCAAATTGTGGAAGGAGTTGAAAGAAGAAAAGTTCAGACTTTGGTATCTAGCCAATTGTAGCTTTCAAAAAAGTTAGCCAAATGAATCTGTAGCTGGTAATGATTACGCAGTACTTGGATTGTTTATTGTGTATGCTTTGTATTTGTTTGCAACCTTTATGTATGGTTGCAGTATGCGTAAGTAATTAGCTTGAAGAACTAAAGGAAAAATAAAATAAAGTAGTTAAATATGGTAAATGTATTCAAACATGTCTCTTTGAGACTTTCTTTAAACCCCATGGTCACTAATTTTGAATAAACTTTTGGAAATTCAAAGACTTTTAATTGCCAAATGTGCAATAATTTTGTTGGCACAACCATATGAACAATCTTAACATATATAGATTTTTGAAAGAGAAGCATCAATAAAACATTGCTTTAATAATTGTTTTAACAACATCAAATAGTTACATTATTTGTTGTAATTTTTATTCATAGCTTATTTAAAATGTTAATTATTTAGCAGTGAGAAGATATGTGTGTTTGTTTTATGGTTTTTTATGATTAACACAAGAAATTACACCAAACAGTCCCTTTATCATTGATGGAAATGCTAAGGGTGAAATTGTAAAATTATAGGGAAACTGAAGAAGCTTCTAACGGCAGAATTTGGATTAGAACCAAGAGATCAACGGCTAATATTTTGAGAAAAAGAGAGAGAGAGAGAGAATGGGGAGTACCTGGAGATGAGTGGAGTCAAAGACCGATCAAAAGTCATCCTAATCGAGGACCCATCGAGTAGACAGAGAAGGATCATCGAGATGCATAGGAACGCCAAGATCTGGACCGTACATCGCCAAATCAACGACATATCCATGGAGGTCGATAAGCTCACGGAGTAAGTGAGTGAAACTCTCAACTGGTGTTGCTGTTAATGGTGGTCGTTGGATTAGGTGAATAATGATGGAGTTAGTGTATGGAGTGGACAACATTAGGAGTTCGGATCGTCTGCCGTGGTTTCCTACGGCAGTCCAAAACGATGTTGTTTTGGACTCTCTCTCTCTCAAGCATTTTGAATCGTAATTGAACAATTTTTGGTGTGAATTTCAACAAGAACTTCAATCTGCTTGCTGTAATGCAAATTACGATCTTAGATTGAATGTTGAATGAGCATCACGAGTGACTTTTAGACTTCAATTAATTCCCTTATGTGTGTTGAATGCTCTTAAATACTCTGAATCTGTGCTTGATTAGTGTGGGAGGGATTTATGAAGCCCCTTAGATCTGGTTCGATTGGTTCGTAGCCTTCATATTTGTGTTAGAAAGGCTAGAGTGAAGCCTTCTTTTTGATCAAATTGGTTCGATTCCTTCATATATGTGTTCAAAAGGTTTGATTGAGGCCTTCTTTTGGTCTGAATCTCTCAGATTTGTGTTTGAAGTGGTTCGATTTGTACTATATGAGTTTGATTGGCTTGAGTTTGGTTCGGATTAGATCTTGAATTGCTCCAGTAGTGTTTGTATCTGAAATTTTGGTATTTCTTTTGAATGAAACTCAGATCTAGTTCAACATTACTTTAAGTGGTGTAGATAATTTTGCCAATATTGAACTCACTTTAAGAATGGTTAATTAATCCAATGCTCTTCACGTAGACAATTGTGTGAGACTCAGAGGGAATTTCAGATCAGTTGCCATCAAGGGTTCATTATTTGAGACTCCTTGGCTTCCCTTTGCCAACATACTTCCTAATGCCATGGATACTAGAAATGCAATAGAATTCCCTATTTGTATATACCTACAAATTAGATGGAAATAAACAAATATTAGACACTTGAAAAGACTTTTGAATGAATCCACCAATTAAAGTGAGTTCAATCTTGGATAACTGAGGAAGAGGTGTAGAAAATTTTACAAATTTTGGTTTTTTTGGTTTACTGAGTTCAATTAAAGTGAGATTACCGTGGAGTTTTTTTGGTTTACTGAGTTCAAACATCACACCAATTAAAGTGAGTTTTTTTGCTTTTTGACTATTTTAGCCTAGGGCTAATAAGTCTTGTTTGAGAAAGGCTTTTTGGGTTTTGTGACTTTTTGTGAGAGAAAAAATGTAATGATTATGAGTTAGATATGATGTTTTGTCTTATTAGGCTAAAAAACTTATTTTTGTCTTTTTGTGGTTAAAATATCCCCAACCGTGCTTCCCAAATGAAGCCAGAGTTTGGATTTATGGCATATTTTGGAAAGTAAGCTAAAAATTATTTTTTTTTTGACTTTTTAAAAATATGATGTGACTCAAAAAAATAAAAAACCTTTTAATCGTGTTGCCAAATAGGCCTATGTTAGTGTAGTTATATGTAATAAAATATTTTTATTTCACATGTTTGTTAATATGTTTTTTTTTTAATTATTATTTTTATTTTTAAATCTAATTTTGAACATTTTTAACTTAGTGAAAAAGGTGAAAAAATTTTAAAACGTGAGGGGCCAAAGCGATAAAAATAAACTTAAATAGCTAAAGCAAGAAAACAACAAAGATGGTAAAGGGCAATTTACCCCTAAAAAAAAAAATTAAGAAAATTTGTAAAACATTAGTATCTTCATAAAATATTTGTAAATTCCTAGAAAAATTTAAAATTTTAATTATTAAAATCTGTAAAATTTACCACTAATTTAAAATTATTTTTAAAAATATGTACTTAGTTATAATTTTTCCAAAAAAACTACCCAAGGCCACTTGTTGGTTGGCTTAGACATGGGAAAGATTCAGGAAGTCTCAGGGTATGTTTGATTAGTAAGATTAATAGTGAGAGAATTAATAATTTATGAGATTAGTATAAGATTGATTATCTAACTGGATTAGCGAGATACATAATTCCTTTTTGTCTACATTTATTTTACAATAGATATAGAAATACACAATTGCAATTATATATATGTTTTGCGTTATTAGTTACAGGATTATAAAATTCTTCAATTTTGTTTGATAGAATAGCCATCAAAATCTAACTGAATAATAAATTTATAATCAAATAATAAAATGTGAATCTGGTGAATTAATAATTTAAATCTTATGTCACTACAAGAAATTGCACTCTTGGCGACAGCGTCAATTTTTCATCGCCAAAAGTATATTTTTGGCGACACAGTGATCAATTTCGTTGGTAAAACTATACCTTTACCGACGCAATTTGCTACCATCGCTAAAAAAGCATAACATTCTTTTAGTGCCAAAATTTTTGGTTGGCGCCAAAATTTTAGAAGTTTTAGCTACGAGGCTTATGTTTTAGCAACACAATGAGCGTTGCTATTAGTGTGCATACTTTTGGCGACGACAAGTTGGCATGGGCAAAGAGTTAACCATTTAGCGACGATAACACTATTCGTCGGTAAAAGTTTTGCTAGTGGAATGATGTGATCTAGTGATTTGTATTTTTTATTACAATTTTTCAAAGAGTTTTAAATATTATAGTTACTGAATTGTAAAATTAAAATGATCATTGAATCAGATCACAAAATGAACCCATTAAGCCCAAACACACTCTTATGCTGAGATGACTAGTTTGAGATAATTTAAATTTTTTCAAAGAATATGGTTAGATTATCAATTTCAATATGTTTGGTTTTATTTTTAGGAACTAGTTTCAAATTTTTTTTTTCTAAAAAACTAAAAAAAATTGGGTGAAAAAAAAATACTTATTATTTTTGTATATTTTTATCTTTTATGTCATAAATACTTTTTAAAATTTTTAAAATATAATTTTTATTTTTATTGCTCTCAAATTATTTTTAATTTTTTTCAAAAAAACAAACCTAATAAAAATTGTTTTGAAATTATTATTATTATTATTATTATTATTATTAGTTTTTTTTTGGGGGGTGATCTGATTATCGGGCGGTGGCAAATTCTTTCTTAAAATTCCCTCATTTTCCCCCCCTCATCAAATCTCCCCTCATCAATCTCCACGATTTCACTCTTGCACACCCTTATCTTAGAATTCGTAGTTATCTCTCCCTCACGATTTCACTCTTGATCGTAGGGTTTGTGCCGTTTGCTGCTACCTGCAAGACGATCGGTGATTCAGTCTACCCCTACATGTTTGTTTCCTTTTTGCTTTGTATCTCATGCCCCTGCTTCTCTCTCTCAATTTCTTAACTGAATCTATGTTTGTTTATTTTCACTTCTTCTACTACTGCCTCTATCTATGCATTTTGTAACTGCTCGTTCTGTCGAGCATGTTAGATAGTTTTTCTGGGTTATTGTTAGTGTTATTTCTTGTAAAGATTGAGACCCTCTTGGTTGTTTTCTCTCATTTGGCTCTTAGCATCTGCAAAACATTTTTAAGTGCAAATAGTGGCAGCAATGTTAAACAAAAGAAATCTAAAATTGTTCCCATTTCGTCCCAACTTTTTTTCTAATTGTTTTTTTGTTGTCATCGTTTTATTTTTGTTTTTGTTTATTTTTTTCCTGGTCTAGTATTTTAAAACTTTTCAAGTCCCCAAAAAATAAAAGAAAAGTAAAAATCTAAACAAATTGAGGCCAAACAGGGAGCAAAAGTCCAAACAGAGATTTTTTTTTTTTTTTTTTTTGTCCTACTCTATCATATCTAGAGGTGTTCATATGAAGGGAACGGAACTATATTGTATTTTGTGGTCACTGTTATGTATAATTAAAATTTACTAGTTTTTCTTTGAGCACACTTTCACCATTGCCATGTGGCACTAGTAGGACTTATGGAATAGGATTGCTCATGGAAGCCTGGCCAACATAGGCCTCCATGTTGATCCGGCCTAATTTTTGCTCCCAGACTTGTAATACTCTAACATATGAACAACACCAATTTTATCAAATCTGCTACTACTTTCATGTTCATTTTTCTATTTCAGTGACAAAATGCATAATTTGCATACATTTGCTTGTTGGGATTTATGCATGTGTAGAAGGATATACTATATACTTTAAAAAATTGCAATCATGAATCATGATGCTTTATTGAGTTGACTTGTTCTTTTCATAACACACAGTAGTGGACTTCATGTCTCTCAATATTCCCATGTGCCTATTATATTTGATACCAGTGGAATTTGGTAAGGTCCTCAGAGTACAATTAAAAAAAATTTAAAGTTTACTTCATTTAATGGAGTTAGGGCATGTTTTCTCTTTTGTGTATGTGTATGTGTGCATCTCTCTAGATGTATGTGTGTAAAAAGTTTATAAAGGACTTAGTGCTCATGATGTGCTATGCTATATCGACATTTACAAGTCTTGGGGACTTGATATCTTAGTTTACTCGGGGATATTCCTTTCAAGTTCTTTCTGATGTGGTTTTACAATTTTCAGTAAGTGACAATCTACACTAACTTTGGTTTGCCTTTAACATTCCTATCTTTGAATTAGATCTCTACAAATTTGCTTATTATTGGATGTGTTTGGTAGATTAAGTACCCCGTGTCCTTGTCTTTTGAACTTTGTTTTTTGAAGAAAATATAATAACCATATTATCCTTACTTTTGCGGGTAGACTATTCATTGTTGGGTTTTGTAAATCTTACAGAGTTCAAAAGACAAGGACACAAGGTACTTGACACAAACTGTCAACCTTTCTTACTAAGTTCATTTCTTACCTTTTTAAGGGATTGCTTTTGCGCCAAAATAACCATGGGGTTGTGTCTAGTGTCGAATTCATTGGTTGTTCCTTTAGTAAAGGAAAGCTACTTTCGCTCCCTGTTTCTACTATTATCTCAGGTTTTGTTGGCTTCAAAGAAGTTGGAAATTACCAAGTTCTGAAGTTACTAGTTATGTGAAGAATTAAGAAAGATAAATTAGATACATAATTTACCTGAGTTTTTTTGCTCTTCTTTACTTTTTGGGTTACCTACTTTGTGCAGTTCCTTAGTTTATTTCAGTTACGATATTGTTGTAACAAAGGGGAATAGTATTGGTTGAATCTGTTCCACCTCAAACACAAGCCACCCCTCATCAAAGTTCTATTTCTACCTTTCTCTACACCATGGCTACGCTCTCCGACCCTTTTACAAGTTTTGCACTGCTTCACCTAAACACTGACATTGAATCCGAAACTACGGACCTAGCTCTACCATCTATTCATATAATGAGCCTAGAAACTTGCTCCTCCCAAACAGATCAAATTATTGAAGAAATGGATGAAACTTCTGTCTAAGAATATTTAATGATAATGGTGCATAAAATATGAGAGATGGCCTTTTATTTTCTGACTACTCATATACCTTTAAGTTGTTCTATTTCAACTAGTGTCAAATCAAAGCTATTCGTGGTTCCACCCCAGCTTGAGCATCTGCTTGAGTAACTCATTATGGTAAGTACATAAATGACAAATCTTTGCATCTATTGTTAGGAGGTCTATGAGTCTATGACTAAGAGTGTAAATCTTATGATCAAGTTGCATGACAGGACGTAAATGCATAGGTTCATTAGTAGAAAATTTAGATGCAGTGGCTGGATGTAATTTGTGCTAGGGCTTTTTAGGAGAGCTGAAAACCCTTTTAGATAAACATAGAAGTTTCATCAAAGAGGGGGCATTGATTGGTGTAGTGGTAAATGCTTGAGTTCCCGTGTATAAAAATATGGGTTTGAATTGAAAAATGTAGTCCCTTCCCACAAATATTACAGAGGTTAGGCCTGTAGCCACTCTTAGTCCTTCCCTATGCCCTTAATTTGTAGGAGCCCATTAGGTAATGTCCTTTAAGGATGATATTGGAATGAATTGGAATAGTACATTGCCATGCCAACTGCCTTTTACCATTTAACAGACATTAAAAATATATTTTTTTTTTGTTTTTTTTTTTTATATTTTTTTGTTGATAAATGTAAAAAACACTTAACTTAGTACATAATATATACAGATATAATAGAATTTTAAAGGATTTGTTGGTCGAAACCTTGATACAAAATTAAAAAAAAAAACTATACGTAGATGCACCTTTATTGAGGATAATGTGTCACTCTACACTTATTAACTACTTTGTCTTCATGTTTAAAAAATAAATAAATAAATAATAATAATAATAATAATAATAATAATAATAATAATAATAAATAAAAGGTTGTGTCCTATTGGTATTAACTACTATCTTATGATCAGATATGGGCAGGAGTTGGATTTTAATTTTTGATAGATTTAGTCAGCCATATGTAGATGGGGTGAACTCATTTATTGAATTTGCAAAGGTTCATTTGGGTGAGGCTAGGGAGATTAAGTGCCCATGCATCAATTGTTGTAACTTTTATAAGCAGGAGTATGATATTGTGAAGGCTCATTTGCTCATAAGTGGGATGATAGTATCATACACCACTTGGTTAGAACAAGGTGAACTTCCAGAACACAATAACCTTGATGAAAGCAATGGTGAGAATGACGAGGATGAAGATGAATATGATGAACTGATAGAGGACCTTTTATAGGTTATTTTCTTTTTAAGTCTATTTTCTTTTTGATCACCTTTTAGCCAAGTCTTTATTCATGTGTACATTCTCTAAGCTTCTCTTCCTGGAATACTTTTTATAGGTTGCAGCTATGTCATTGGATAGCATAGAAAGTATTGAATGTTGTCATCCAATTTTGATTTTGTCACTTTTGTAGGATCTGGGTATGAGAAGGATGTTATTGGACCCCTTGGAATTCCTTCATTGCCAGTCATGGAAAAGAAATCTATGGTTCAGTTGAAGTCAACGAGGAGTGGATCGTCAAGAGAATAGTCAGATGATGATGAAGTTGAAGGAGAAACAGAAACGAATAACATGGAACCTATCGATGCAAAATGTGTCAGGAGGTAATTGTGTTTCAACTGTTAGCTACTTATGGTTAAAGTTTATCTTGAAATTTGATTCTTGCAGTTGTGTGACTATCCCTTTTTATATCTTTGTGAGGAAGTGCACATATCATTTGTAGTTGGTATAGATAAATTCCACTTATCCTAATTTATATCAAATAATGAAAGGCCATTTTCTTTGGCAATATATATATATATATATTTTGCGCCAATGTAATTCATGCTATACATAAAAGGTCAGGAAAATTGCTTACAAATTTTTTGAATTGAAATTCCCTTTAATAATTGATGGAAAGACAACTTGCTACTTAAAAGTTGTTTGACCTGTCCATCTTATGTGTAAGAGATTTAGTCTATTCAACAACATAGACCACTTAAACGTGAATTGGTAGCCTTAAAATGATTGTTTCAAATGAGTACTATAAATAACTTATTTATTGAATATGTTTTTCTTAATTTATAAAAAAGATATATATCTTTGTTAATGTTGTTAGTGGAAATTTCAGTGAGATGAACCTCCTCCGCAATGGATGCCCAAAATATCGGGGTTGGCCTCAATACCTATTTGAGGTCCACAAGAAAATGACCGGCCTCCATGAATGATTACAGTTGTCTTCTATGAGAATAGGAAGCATCCATCTATTTTTTCTTTTTAGGTAACAAGGGGTGACCTCTTTTTGATTTCCTAGAAGGTTGAGAAATCGAAAGTGACTATCTTTGACCAAAGGGATTGCTACACAATTAGAGGATGAAGCATTGATCAGTCTTGTGGTCTTGACTTTTCTTGCTTAATTTTATACCAACATGTGCATGAAAAGTAGTGGCTGTTAGATGTTAAATGCCATGCATTTAAAACGCTTACTGTAACTATGATTATGTCCATCTTTTCCACTAACGGGTCATTTTGTTCGTGCTTTCTATACACATTGTTGCCACATTCAATTTTCTTCAATTAATTTGTTTTGTGTTTTTTTATAATGCTTTCAAATAGAGAATCAACTAGACGCTTTAGAAGAAGAAAACAAGCCCATTTGACTGAGCTAGAAACAAAGGTTGTCCTTTATCTTGTCCCTTGGGACCCAGCCTATAACACTCCGCACTTTCTCATCAAAGAATACAACACAAGAATTTGCTACATCAGATAGGCCAACTGTCATTTACAGTAGTAACAAGAAATTACTCTATAGCAATGTAAATTTGAAACTAGTTAGTCATATGTGCCCTTTCAACTTCGCTACTTTTCCGGACAGGTAAATTTGGCTCTCTCTTAATTTTAAGTTTTTTTCCCCCTCATCATCGTTAATTGAAATGTTGGAATTTGATTCTTTTGTATTTTTGCTTAAACACACTTCTTGAATTGGAAAAGAAGAAATCTTTAATTGTTATTCTAGTCCATGCTTCTAAAGGTAATTATATGCCAGTTCTTGGTAATTTTAACTCAATAGTTTGTTGCTGTTCTCTGTTCTATTCGGCTGTTTTGGTGTATCTGCTGTATATGCTGTTCTGTTTTGCTAATCTAGTGTATCTATGCTAGTGCTGTTTGTTTCTGTTGCATTTGATAATTAGGTGTCTCTGTGCTGTTTCCTTAATTGTTGTTCTGGTGCATCTGCTCTGGTGTACCTTTTAATATAGTTATGTATGATACAGTTACTATGAAAGAAATAATTATAACTTTATTATCAAGTATGGCCCCCTCTAGTTATGATTTTAATAGGAGCCATAAATTCAGTGTAAACATTAGATATACAAGCTTAGTAGTAAATATCAATTTATATGGTGTGTTTGCTTGCACATTGCACATTGTGGGCATGCACGCATCAGTCACATATAGACACCATAGACAAACATAAATGTAATGTCCTAAAATTACACATGGTATTTATTATGCCTGAGTTTTGGGCCAAGGTAGTCCCCCCTTTATATTTGGGCTCGGAATATTGTCTTAATCAGGATTTGCAATCATTAATATAAATTCCATCTGTGCAAATCAAAGTAGCACTACTGTAGCATGCTATGGTAGGCATGAAAATGCTTAGGTCAATGTCATCTGCGATTGGTTTGCATCCTAAGAAGGATAACAGGGAGGTCTAGCATGAAGTCATACAAATCCAATGTTCTTCGTGCTTTTGTAGATATCTCATCTATATTCTAGAGGTCCAGTTACACCTACATTGTTCGTGATTTTATATTACTTAGAAGTTTTTTCTAGGACTCAGATATTAAAATTGTCATTCATCTTGTGTTGCTCCCACGTGTCATACTTTTGAAACATCATATACATCCAATCTCTCTGTCCCTCTACCAAGAAAAAAGAAACTACCTTCCTGTTAAGAAAAAAGAAGAGGCAAATTTGAAATATTCATCTTGTAATTTTGCATCAACAACATGTAGTGCATTGATGAGTTAGGCACTATTTACATCTGCCTGCTTTTATGTAATATAATATTAAGACATTTGATTTTCTTATGGTTAGTTCTTTTCTTTTTTGCTTTGTTCAGGCAAGTGATCCCGCAGATAACGATGCATGGAAAGATAAAGGCACTGGTCAGCTTGCTATCAAATGTAAAGAGGGCGTTAACAAGAGCACAAGAGAATCCAAGCCAACAATTCTCGTTCGAAATATGTTTCTTCTTACTGTTTTTGCTCTTCCCAAGTTGAATTCAGCTTGAAATCTTGAGTTTGTAATGAAACTTTGATTTTTGTTTCTGTTTTTTTTCTTCTTTGTAATTTTTCCTACTTGTTCATTATTTGTCTGACACATGTGAAAAAAGTACTTACATGTACATGCACACACCTGTCCATATAGGGAAGAGTTGAGACACACTAGTGGTTTACATTAAATTAAGAACCAAAGCTCAATTTCGACCATAATTATACTTCTGTTCCCTTTTTTGCTTATGGCAGGTGGGGAAAGTGTTGCTAAATGCATTGTTATATCATGGCATCAAGACGAAAATGCAGAAAAATTCCATTGTTGCGACATTTCATACAGCGGTAATATTTCATAATTAAATAATTCAAAATACACTTTTGTGGGGGAAATAAATAGGAAACGGGGATGTTTTGTTATCTGTCATTTCTTCTGCAATATATTTTGCTGTATCACACAAGGCTCTAGGCATGGTAAATCTTGTCATTGAGTTCATAAGTGAGCCCAACAAATCGAGGTTCCTATTTCTATTGCATGATAATGGGATAACCATTCTATTTATCAAATAAATAAATAGGATAACCATTCTATTATATAAAGTGCACCTGAGTTGGGTCGAAAGCTGTCACTATTTCCCACTCAGTAACCACCACATCTAATAGCAATACAAATAATTTTTTTCTTTTGTCAAACCGTCCAAAATTGTTATTATTTTTCCTCAACCATCATACTATCCAAAAATTTAAATATAAAATTGCAATGCGTTTGCACACACAGCTTGTACATATATTTGTGGAAAGGATTCTCATGGGTTGTTTTTTACGAAAATTTTCTCTGAAGCATTTTTTTAATGCACTTTATAGTGGGAAATTTCACTTGTGTTTTTTGTAGAGTGATATGGGAAACAACAACATTGATAGTGACGGTGTTGTGGCATGTACCTTCTTAATAAGAACAAAAATCGAGGAGGATCGGAATAAGCTTGCAGCAGCAATTCAGGAATATGCCCCTCCAGCTTGAAAATACACATGGAAGTGATTTTCCATCACATTGTACAACCCGTGAGCTTCAACAAAATTGCAAATGCAAAAGTTGTGTGTAGGGTGGTCTTGTTGAAATTGATGAATCCTCCTTTTTCTTTCGGAGGGAGGGCGAGCTCCAAAAATCTACCAGGCGGAGCCAATATTCAGAAGTTGACAATATTTTCATATGTACAAGAGGCTAATGCACCTGTATCATGTAGAGAAGAAAGGATGTTCTCTTCCAAAAGTGGGTATTTTACATTCCTTTTTTTTCTTCTAATTATCATGCAAGGATTAGCAAAGAACTTGGCTTGAGTAGCTCCTATTAAAATGCCTTTACATGTGTAGATACCCTATTTTTGACTGTCCTAAAGACTTGGATGTTCTTGCAGGGTATATCCAGTAACAAGTTTGATTTGCTCGTCGAGTGCTCGACTTTCACGACGGAATGCTCCAGGTTTGATCCTTCCAGACCCTATTTCCATTGTATCTCATATTTCGACCATGTGTTGGTCTTTGCATGGTGTTGTCCTTGATGGCCTGCCGACCATAATCGAGGGCTGCCAACCATGGGCTTTGCCCTGCCGGCCATCAATGAGGCCACTGCCGGCTACCACTGATGGCCAGCCGGCCACCATGTTTCAATAGATATTTTTGAAGATATTTTGACAGTTGTTTGCATAGATTAGCCCATCTGCATGCACGTGGATGGCTGGATTTGTTTGAAGGCTTCTTGTATCTCCTATATATAGAGTTCATATATATGCATGCAAAGGGTTGCAAAGTTTGAGCTGAGCAAGATTTCTCTCTCTCTCTCTCTAGAATCCTCTCTCTCTACATTCTAGGCTTGAAAGTGTGTTTTCACTACAAATTTGCACTAGCACGCTTAGGCAAATACCTTCACCTTAGAGTTGAGGTTCTTTGGGGCCTTGTTTGAGCTCCTTAGAGTGATTTTGGCTTAGAAGTTTGGCTGTTTTCTTTCTGTGCTTCAAGGGTAAGAATTTCCCTCTTTTAAAGCTGGTTTTCCCTCTGTGCTTCAAGGGTAAGAATTTCCCTCTTATTCCAATTCATTGCTTGGCCACCTTTGTGTGCTACTTTAAAGCTGGTTTTAGCGTCTTAAAAGTTCTATTTTTAAGGCGTGAAAATGATGGTTTAATTCTTGTGTGGTAAGGGGGTGGTTCCCTCCCTTGGCTCTTTGGCTTGTAAAGCCTTTTGAGCCATCTTTCTAAGCTTTTGAAACATCCTTTGTTTGGCCTTTCTACCACTGAAACTCAGAGGTTTTTTCAGTGGTAGAAACTTGGTTTTGAGGTCCAAAATAGGAGAGGGTGGCCTCCTCTCCTTGTATCTTGGTTGCATGTGTAGACAGCCTAATTGTTGAGCATGTTTTTCTACCATCTCTTGACTTGATCTCAGCATGTTTTTGTGACTTTCTTGACATGTTATAGCTTTGATTTTGGCTGATTGCGTCATTTGATGCTTGCTTCTTACACTAGTAGTGTAATCTTGCTCACTAGCCTTTCATGCCTAATGAATTAGCTTGTTATTTTAGCATGTGTTGGCTCCACTCCAGCATGTTTTTGGCCTTGCTTTGACATGCTTAAACTCTGTTTTGAGTAGTCTTGGTCCTTCGGGACTTGCTTTGTATAGCCATAGTATAGTTAGCTTCACTAGCCTTATGTTTTGAGGCCTTTAGCATGCTTTGCTTGTGACGCTTGCATGATATAGCATCATTTAGCATGTGATTTCCGAGCATATTTCTCTGTAACACTCTCACACATATCACTCTTTCAATGTGTTTGAGAGTTGTGCCTTATGCTTTGTTTATGACCTAATACATGAGCATGATTTTCTTGCTTTTCATGCTACCCTCTCAGCACATTTTGGCCACTGTTTTGGCATGTTTGAGGTCTGTTTAGGGCTAATTTTGTCATTTGAGCATTGTATTGCATGGTTCTAGTGTAAAGCTCTTCACTAGTTTTATGATGAAGTCCCCTAACATGTTGTACATGGGTTGTTTGCATGTTAGAGTCTTGTGTTTCATGCCATTTTAGCACTGAAATATCTGTCATCTCCCTCATTTCTTCACTTTTGATTTGTTTTGAGGGATGGTTAGTCTTAAAGTTGTGCTTAAGCGATGGGATTGAGGCTTATGCTTAAATGGCTTTAACCGTTTTTGAGGGTTCCTTCTAGTCAAAGGCATGGTCTCTCTCATGTCTTAAGTCATCTTTTGATTGACCTTCCTCCCATTAGAGGACAATCACTTGGACTTAACTAGTTAATGAATGGCTCGGTAATGTAAAATGTGTAAACAAGAATTGAATCAAGTAAAACATGCCAAGATAAGTATGTTATGTATGCATTGCATTATGTTCAATCGAATGTTATATTGAACACAAGGAAGATTGGTTCATTTCATACTTGAAGTGATGAAATGAGCCAATCTCCTTTGTCTCCATTGCCTTTGACCTTCCATGATAAGGTAATGGTCCTAGAGTCTTGCTTGTTTTGCATTTATTGAATTTGTGCAAGTTGGATCCTTAGCTATCATGCATTGAATGCTTGATTGGTGGCTTTAGACCCAATAGTGCCACTCCTTTGATGTTTTGAGATGATAAGGGGTGACATAGTACAAACATGTCCCTGGAATAACCTCCCATTTTCTCTATTTTGTGCTCTATTGCAGTTTGGTGTTACAACACACCAGTGGTCGGCAGATCTTCATTGTTGGCCGGCACTCTTTCATTGCTGGCTGGCAGAGGCACACTCTTGGCTGGAAGATGGCCGGCAACCACCATTCATGGCCGGCAGGCCACTGGTGCACTCCCCAATATAGCATGGAATTGGTAAGGTTCAGCAGAGAGTTCTTGGAGACACCCTACAAATAGAGCCTCTAAAGAGCAAACCAGAAGGCTTCTTGGGACAGACACCAAGGCATGCATGTTCACCTTCTTCAACTTGCTGAGGCAGCGTAGTTTGATGCATTACTTGTTAGTTAGCATAGTTTTGTAATTAATTTTTTAATTAATTAAAGTGTTGTAATAATTAAGTAGCTTAGTTTAGCTATTTCTTTATTAGTTTGTTTAGCTTAGCTTATTCATTCGGACCCTCCTTCGCGAGGGCATAATGTTGTAATAAGTATGTGTGTGTGTGTGCACGTCTTTCAACCCCACGTCTTTCTCCCTTTTATTTAACCGCTTACGATGGTTAGATTAGGGCATGTTTTGATTAGCATACCTTATGCTTTGCATGCGTGCATCATTTACTTGTCTTGCATGCATCGGGCTCGGCGCATCATTCAAACTGCATTGTATTTCAATACACTTACTTGAATACGTGTTTCAAAGCTTGTTATCAAGTTGCATTCATATGCCATCTTAGATAGCCAAGCCTATTTAATTGCATTTTGCATGTGTTGCATTAGGCATCTTAAACATAGTTAGGATCATGCGTATTTCTAACTAGTTTTCTGTTTTGGCTTGGAGTACTCAGTAAGTTTTTACGCTTTAGCATACATGCATGAGTGTGAGTGTTTCCATGATAGCATGCTTGCCATGAGGCTATTTGCTTAAGTGATTAACTGCATGAATGCTTATGGATGGAGGTTTTATTACTTGAATTGGGAGAATTCATCAAATGTGAGTTTTAAGCCAACTTTGCGAAGTGAAAAAATCATGTTTTTAAGCCCACTTTAAGGGTGGCAAAACCGCGCTTAGCCCACCTTGAGGGTGGCACTTTCAAACCAATTTCGAAAAAAAAAACAGGAATTGTTTTGTCCCAATTCTTGTGATTTGGTCTATACTTATATGCTGTGCACATTACATAGTAAGTTAGATTAATAGCTGGAACAAGAAGACATGTGTTTATAAAACAACATATCATCTTAGTAGAGGTCGATCCTTTGATCGGACAAGCGGGGGTGCTCATTTCAGGACCTTCCCCTCTCGTACCCAAGTTCCCGAGCCGAGGCACCTTTGAATGCATTGATAGATTATGTAAGGTGGCTCAGTGATGAGCCGGATGTTGTTGAGGTGCCTCAATTAGAACAGGGTCAGTCAGAAATAGGAACATCTGCAGTGGCAAGAATGGCAGAGAACAAGGAGGCATCGCCGGAGAGCACCGGTGCTGAGAATTTTGCTCAAGACTTGGGCAGTTTGAGTACAGCAGACACTGAATAGGAAGCCGCATTAAAGCGGTTTGAACAAGAGAAAATTGAGAATGATGATTGGGCTAGAAAAGCCAAGGCACCTGAGGGGGTACAATGTGTCGAGAACACGGGAGCAGCTACAGCGGGATCGGACAGTTGTCTATCGGTTGTCGAGGGGATGTGGTGGGAAGACGATGACTTACATCTTGCCCATATTGACGAGGACTGGGGTCAGAATCAACCAGATGACACCTAGTACACTGAGGAGGTCGACCATATGACTCGAGGTGGGTGGTACTTCAAGCCCCCACATCTAGACCAGTCGAAGGCGTCGGGGAAAGACAAGGAAGCTGAAAAGTAGAAAGACAAACTGCTAGAGGAGGAAGCAATGCTAAAGTAGCTAAAGAAAATTGAGGTAGACATCTCCATCTGGGGACTGCTTATGGCCTCGCTGGTTCATAGACAAGCTGTCCTTTCGGCCATGGACAAAGCTAAACTTTCAATTGATACAACGCCTGAGCAGTTGGTGGGATTGGTTTTCCCAGGTGGAGCTTTGCCGACTTTAACCTTCACAGATAAAGAATTACCGCCTGAGGGCGCTAAGCATAACAAACTATTATACATCTCTGTGGAATGTAAAGAAAGTAGCTATCGGTGGTCCTGGTTGATACGGGATCTGCAATCAATGTATGTCCGTCGTGAACGGCGTATGCTATCGGGGTTGAAGCCCGCAGATTTCGCACCTACTGCCCAGGTGATTCGGGCATATGATAACACCAGTTGGGAGGTGATGGGGACGGTACGGATCAAAACTCAAGTCAGCCTGGCGTAGCAAGACCTCGAGTTCCATGTTCTAGATGTTCCAGCCAACTTTAATCTACTCCTTGGGCAGCCGTGGCTGCACCAGGTGAGAGCTGTCTCCTCCACTTTACACTAGATGCTGAAGTACCCCCACGGGAAGGGGGTAACAATTTTTTTTGGAAACTCTTCCATACAACTGCCACCAGAGGTTTCTACACCGGTTTTGGAAATTGAACATGGCGTGGAGGATGTCTTCTTGTTAGGATTCACCTTGGCTGAGGCTTGGGTAGTACAGGACTTGCTGGCTATTGATGAGGGACTGTATGTCAGTGCACAATCTCTTTACCTCACGAACAAGCTTCAACACATGCCCAGAATGGGATTGGGATGGAATGGTCGGAAGGGCATCGCTGCATTGGCCGAAGTGCCATACAATCATTATACCTTTGATTTAGGTTATTCGCCTACCAAAGAGGATTGGGCAAGGAAAGGAAAGGAAATGGCCGAAAGAGCCAAGGCTAAGCAAGCCAGGAAGCACTACGAGTTGGTGCACAGACCTATCCAGGGAACCCTGAATGGAAGCTTTGTCCAAGAGGGGGAAGATTTCCAGTTTTGCAGCTTTCCGGTGCCATGGTTGAATTTAGAGAAGCAACGTTTGCCCGACTTTGAGATCTTTTTTGACTGATAGTTGTCAGGGGATGAAGTTGCAGAAGAGCAGACTAACACACCAGTTGAGACTGAGTAGTGCAAAGAGGATGAGTCCGAGGGCACAGAACTCGAGTTAGGAGCAGCACTGGCTTGTCTCCTCTTAGATACTCAGATCACATCGGAGTGCTTAGGGGGTGACTTCTTAGTTTCCATGATTGGGGATCAAACGACTGTGGGCCCTTCTGGCATTCTGGATGCGTCCATCGCACCCTCCCCCATTTGGCAATACGAAGAGGGCTTTTTATCAAGCAGTTCTGGGTCAGGTAGTGAACCAGAATCTGATTCCATAGAGTCTGTGGAGTTGGAATCAGATTCTAGTTCTTTTGAGTCAGAGTCTGGTATTGCTGGGGTTGATAACCCGAATGCCACTGTCCTGTCCAGGTCGTCTTTTTCATTTTCTTTTAAGTTGATTGTTGCCGAAGAATCAGACGAACTAGAAGTTATTAATGAGAATGGTGCTGCTGTGGCTTCCGAGTACTTTTCTGTGCCTTTAGTTTATTGCATTAATCAGGACTTTCAAAACTTTGATGAAAATGATGAGGAAGAAATTCCTCCGGTTTTGAAACATTTGATTGATCAAGAGCAAGAGAGGTTTGTAAAACCTTTGGTTGATTAAATCACCTCAATTAATATTGGTACTGAAAAGGACCAGCGGGTGGTCCAAATTGGGTCCACGTTGTCTTTTGAGGAGTACGAGCGCTTAGTCGCTTTATTAAAAGATTTTGAAGATGTTTTCACGTGGTCATACGAAGACATGCCTGGAATCTATCCCGAGATTGTACAGCACCGGATCCCTCTTGACCCAGAGGCCTGACCTGTTAAGCAGAAGCTTCGATGGGTCCGCCCAGATTGGGCTCTGAAAATCAAAGAAGAGGCCACCAAGCAGATTGATGTAGGGTTCCTATTAGTATCTGAGTATCCTACTTGGTTGGCCAATATAGTTCCAGTGCCGAAGAAAGATGGTAGAATTCGGGTATGTGTGGACTTTAGAGATTTGAACAAAGCCAGTCCGAAGGACGACTTTCCTCTGCCGCATATCAACAAATTGGTGGACTTCACTATTTTCACTACCCCGTGGGGAACTTACTGTTATAGGGTGATGCCGTTCGGTTTGAAGAATGCTGGGGCTATATATGAATGGGCTGCAATCACAATCTTGCATGATATGATCCATAAAGAGGTTGAGGTGTACGTAGACGACATGATTGTCAAGTCCAAGGAAAGAGAGGGCCACTACACCGCCTTAAAGAATTTTTTCCAATAGATCAGAGAGTATCGGTTGTGGCTGAATCCTTAAAAATGTACTTTTGGCGTTACAACAGGGAAAATGCAGGGGTTCTTGATCACACAGAGGGGCATCAAGGTCGATCCTTCCAAAATCAAGGCCATCTTAGAAATGCCACCACCGAGGACTGAAAAGGAGGTGCGAGGCTTTCTGGGTAAAGTGTAATTCATAAGACGGTTTGTTGCAAAATTAACCATGACTTGTGAACCATTGTTTGGTCTCCTAAAGAAAAGAAAGAAGTTCCAATGGGATGACCGATGCCAAGTTGCTTTCGAACAAATCAAACAGTACCTACAGAACCCACTTGTGTTGTCGTCGCTAGAGCGGGGTAAACCGTTGATTCTGTATCTATCAGTGACTGATACGACAATGGCCTGCATGCTTGTGTAGGAATTTAAGGATAAAGTGGAGAAGGCTATCTACTACGTGAGTAAGAAAATGCTGGAATATGAGAACCGCTACACTCCATTAGAGACGGCTTGTTTCGCCCTGGTATGGGTTACCAGGAAGTTAAGGCACTACCTGCTAGCTCACTCTGTAATACTGGTTTCGAGATTAGATCCCATCAAATATCTATTCGAGAAACCAGCACAAACGGGTAGGCTAGCTCGTTGGTTGCTTCTTCTCTCCGAATTTGATTTGAAGTACATGACGCGCAATTCTGTGAAAGGGAGAATGGTAGCCGAGTTCCTAGCCGATCACCCAATAGAGGGAGATGAAGCAGTAGAATATCTGTTCCCAGATGAGGCCATTCTGCAGCTTGAAGAAGAGGTTTGGACTATGTACTTTGACGGAGTGTCCAACCAGTACGGGTATAGGACAGGGGTGTTGCTAATAGCACCCAACAATTCCCACATACCCTTAGCTTTCAAACTCCAGTTCAAAGTATCGAATAATGAAGCAGAGTATGAGGCATGTATCGCTAGCTTAGAAGCCGCCCTGTAACTAGGGGAAAAAAGGTTGGACGTCATTGGGGAATCAAACCTGGTTGTGTCTCAAGCCAAAGGAGACTAAAAGGTTAAGGAAGAAAGGATGAAAATTTATCACCAAACTCTGGACGTCCTAATTCCCAGGTTTGAGAAGTTAACCTTCACCCATATGTTGAGAGAGAGCAACAGGTCGTAGACTCTTTATCAACACTATCTTTTACGATAGACATCCCTTTGGGAGTCCGGATGCGTCCAATCATCATTGAATAGAGGTATATACTGGCCTACGAGTAGATTGCCGCCATAGATGAAGCACGAGATCAAAACCCCTGGTATTATGACATCTAGAACTTCTTGGAAAAGGAGGCTTATCCACCAGGAGCAAATGCCAAAGATAAGAGGCTGATACGAAGAATGGCTGCTCAGTTCATCATCTGCGGGGGTGTAGACGTCCCCGAACGCCCCGGGAGGATGAGTCCCGATCTGTTCGTTTTGGGCTCGCTACAGTTCAGGACTCTCAAATTGTCACGGTTCTTAATCTGAACCAAAGAGTCCAAATCCGGCAAATCGTTTTGGAAAACAGATTTGTAGAAAAGAAGTGCCAAACATGGACTGCTTTGCCAGATACAGAGTCGCCACCTAAATATTTTATTTTGGAAAGAATTTAGGAAACCCTAACTTGTGCCTAAGGCCACGTGTCCGTCATCACCAAAGTTGCCTCGGCTCGGGAACTTGG